CGTGTTGTGAAAAAAAGAAAAAAGTGGAAGCAACTGATCATAAGAGGTTGGGGGGCGGTTCAAGAAAAACAGAGTTGTAATAAACACTGGAGGAATTTGCCGAGATTGTTCTAACAAGAACCTTCTAACAAGAATGTTCCATCATCTCAACTTCAGATTTTTGATCTGTTTCTTCCGCCATTCGTTGAGTCTGAATATGTTTAAGACAAGAAAGTGATTGATGGTGATGGCATAAAAATGAACTCGTCGAAAGTTGAGGAAACGAATTAGGGCTTGATCTAGATCATATCATGCTGCTGAATGGAATCGAGAGATGTGTTGCTTAACGAAAAGCTTTTTTTCCCATTATCAAATTTTTGGGAGAAATCAAGACTAGGCTCCATCCAGAAGCTTTGTTTGTTCGTGTTGAAATCAGAGAGGAAGAGAAAGAATAGTAGAACTGGTCAAATATGAAAAACATAATTTTATTTAAAGGGAGTTTAATTTACTGAAGCAAATATGTTAAAACGGAAGCTCTAAAATCGACACCCAGGTACGTGTTACAACCAAAGATTTTTTTACTGAAGGATAACGTCATATTCCAAAAGCTGATCAGTATTTTGTTAAACAGATGAAAAATATTTTTCAGAAAGAGGTAGTAAAGATCAAATGAACCTCCGAACTCGGTGATACTCGGTATAAAAATGATAAACTGAAAGCAGTTTATCGGAATGTCGCAAACTACAGAATTCATTTCAGTGTTGCATATTATAATTCAAGCTTAAAAATTTTTAGGCTTTCTCCTATTGAGCAAAATAATGTGAAAAGAAATACACATTTCATGTATAGCAGTAACATTTTCTTATGCTTATTATTATAGCTTATATATGGATAATTAACTGTACTTGACTTTATATCAGCTAACTAAATAATATTATTAAAATTTTGAAAAACGTTCTATCGTTTTTTTTTTTTGGCCATACTGATAATTTATCTGAAAATAAAATGAATCTGCGCAGTAGCCACATCAATTTCAAGTCAATACCTCAGCATTTCAAGTACCATCAACACAATTACTGCGCTGATAATTTTGAATTGATGTGGCTACTGCGTAGATTTATCCCATTTCCAGATAAATTATCCTTGTCTAAAAAAAAGATTTCCAAGCATATCAGTATACGTTTTTGATAACAAGCAACGATTTTCTGGACACAGATAATTACTACACATGAAGGATAATTCATGTAACGTGCATAGTATTTAGGTTTCATTTTAGGGCCTTATAAGCGTTTTCGTTTTTTTTTTTTTTGGTTGCACTTAGCAAGAATTGGAATATGCTTCTGAAATATGGAAATTGTGATCACTTGTGTCTCTGTTCATTTCTTTGTTCAACTAGCTGAATTACATTTTGAAAATACTTTGTGACACTGTAATTCATTATGAATCTCATTTTATGTAGCGAATTTTTGTTACGGAACATAAATTTATAGGCATGAACGGAACTATCAAATAAGTTAGTTTCCAGCAGTGTGATGTAGCGAGAAGATATTTTTTTAGGCGATTATGCGTGGTGCTCTGCTATATGCGTTTTTCAGGATTTCCTATTAGTAATTATTATTGCTTCTTTTTTTCATTATTTTAAGGGAAATAACTATCAAACCTTCGGATGGATATCAGATACTGTAGATATCAAATATCATCAGATTCATATTCAATCACTTTGAAACTTTTTAGTGAAAATCACGCAAATATTTCCAGAATTTTTAAGAATCATAAAGTGAAATAAATGCATAACTGGCCTTTTTTTTCAAAAAAAAGAAGAAAGGTAATGGAATATTCCGGACACCATTAAAGTGAGTGATTCAAAAGCAGTCTGAGTAAAAAGAACGTCAAGAAGATTGATTCTGAAACTTATAATCCATAAATGAACTATATTTCGAACTGGATTTAGCAGCATTAAGGTTCCCAGTTACTTCATTCTTTGTGCTTGAAAAAATGCCGACCACTTCGTCTTGAATCTTTATTTATTCATTGAAATCAGTTCCTCTTGTGACAATGGTTATCCGATCTTACATTGGATACCCCATTTAACTACTTCTCAAAAAGGAACAACAGCGTCAACTGTTAAATTATTTTCAAATTTCTGACCACTCTGACTACTCGGTGTTACTTCGCTAATAGTTTGTAATGCTGCTTGAAAACTTCTGAGAATTTCCATTAATTTGAAGGCACTATACCACTCACGTGTACATCCTTTGCGCTGTTTCATATACATCAACTGCAACTCCCCATTTCAGAAAAACCACTTTTTTGATAAAGGGAGTTTGATAAAGGATTGCTGTAGAAAATCTATAGTTTTATTTCCTTTTCCAATTTTCAATTAAAAGAAGAGTAATCATTTGAACCATATCACTCATATTCTAAAAACATCTAGCCGCAATTCTTGTATAGCAAAACTTGGCAATGAAACTGTCCTTTACAAAAGTTAAATAACATGACAGAATCTTTTAATTTAATCCGATTAATCCAAGCTTCTGAAGAGATCAAACATGAACACAATATGATAGAATCTATTAAAGGTATGCCACGACCAGATTTTTCCCGAACTCTTCTAATACATCGTGTTGCCTGTCACCCTATCTTTTTTAAATCTCACCTTCTATTACCTTCTTTAACCATCTCTAAGCTGTTTATGTCGGAGAATAAACATTTTTAGCTAATAAAAATCTAAAATATGATATTTGTCCAAAACTGTCCTATTTATCTCTAAATAACAAGAAAAGAAGTTATAACAGTTATAATATTACTATAGATATCACTCTGCCAACAAATAAATGTAATTCCGTTAAAAGGTATGTATATGTCTGCCTTATGTTTTCTCGCCAAATGTACATAAAAATGTGATTGGAACAATCCAGCAAGTTAAACCTTATGCGAAAAAATATCAGTCTTCGTTGAACATATTGTGATCATCGAGAATAACCTCAACAAAATGCGATGAGAATTTTTACTAGCAGTATTAGGAACTATGATCTTGATATTAATGTTAAAGACTAACACCCTTAAACTAGTTAGTGATAAATAATAGTTTCCAACCCGATTTATTTGAAAAGCAAAAGTAGTTAAAAAACAAACTGACAAATCATTGAATAAGCGAAAATTTCCTTCTTCCTTGCAAATCAGATCTTTAGCCTTTCCAAGCTGCGCGTTTTTTTTTTATTCCATAACTATTGCTGATAGTTGAACTTCTTTAGACGCAGTGCTTTATTATGATCACATCGGAGGACAGAAAGGATTTTGCGAATAGCCAGGAACGTTGACGTTTTATGAATACAATCTTTGCTTCATCGCAAAAACTGCTCGTGCTTTCTTGCTTCAAAATGTTTTTGGTATTACTACAGTATTACTCTGAGTCGCGTTGCACATGTCGTTTAAAAGAGAAAGTTGCGGACATTCCTCGCTCACCTTTCTCTGTTCTTGCTTTCTGATCCTTACAAACTGACAGTACAACAAGTCTTATTTCCATAAGTGGGGTGGGGGAGAGGAGGTAGGAGAAACTTTTTCAAACGGTAGCCATTACATCATTTCAACCACCCAGCCCTCCATCTTTTTTGAATGATGTTTCTTTTAAACAGAACGTTTTTCAATACTTAGGTGTAAGAGCGATTTACTGCGCAGATGAAATCTGGAATACCAAAGTAAATTTAATAATTCGAAAACAGTTTAACATAATAGTAGAAGTTGTCGACCTCACGTGTCTGCAATCGAAACATAGAAAGAGAAACTGCTGGGAAACGATTTCCGAAACTGAGTGCTTTTTAAGTAAATAAACATGGTTAAAAATAGTAATACCTGGCCTAAACTAACCAGTTTACAAAAGCAGACAGTTCTGCTGCAAGAAGACAACCAAAAACAAAAAGTTCAGCATCTTTCAATGCAGAGGAGTAACATGAATTTCAATACTTGACTATGAAAATGAACAGATGCTAAAGAAAGAGCTGATCCACGACTTTATTACTTCTCTCATATATAGCACAGCCACTTTTTTCATAAAAAAAAGAAAAATAATTTGGAGAGATATAAAACAGTTCTCAAGATCATTAAAAAAAGACCAACGTGAAGTGAAATGTAATGTGAAAACAAATCAATCCACATTCCAGCCATCACATCTTATATAATTCTTATTCCGATTCAGTTCTGTGATCCTTTCAATTTCTTCCTTTGTCAACTTCATATCAACTACCTTAAAAGTTAACCATTACTTATATTTCAAAAAAAATGTCCAGAATCGTTCATCCAACTATGAAGGCTGTTTTCATGACGAAAGCAGAAGCAAGTGTGAACTTTTGTAAACTTTTAGCCTTACGTATCTTTCGATAATTTCTTACGCGCTATGCAAGAACATCTGCAAATGTTAGTGTTGCATGAGTTCAAACTGTACTTAGAAAAACAAATTCGTTCCGGATATTAAAGCCGTATGAAGCGATTATGTAGCATTATAGAGGATGCTATAGTACTCTATTTACGAAATTCAAAATCGGAGTATAAGTAAAACGGATCATAAAAAAAAAAAAAACTGACTTTACTCGCCAACTTGCAAATATTCTTAACAACAAATGTAAATAGGAAAGAAGTGATCTTGCTTTAGATAAACACAAAGTCGTCCATTTTAACCGACAATCGATATGAACTAGAGATAAAGTACTTCTTCATCTTATACATTCCTTTGACCCAATAACCGATCACCAAAATCATGGAAGACCTTGTTCTCTATCTTACGAAAAAAAGCTCGGTGTATAAAGCTAACCAACTGTCCAGCCCCCACTTCTTTACATGAAAATATCTAAAAGTTATACCTTAAAGTTGTCAATCACTCGTTCTGGATTAGCTGACTTCGGTATAATACCAATACCAAGACTCAGTGCCCAAGCTAATACAACGAGCTGAAACAATATATTTCTAATATATAATCGCTCAAAAAACTTAACACTTCTCTTAAAACTTCCAACAAAATTTATTATGAATACTTTAAACACCAACCTGAGGTGTTGAGTTATGTATTTTTGCTATTTCAACAACTGTGGAATCACACATAAGATCAGGATGATTCCTAGCCAGTGACGAATAAGCCTGAAATTAAAAAAGTTATTTTCGGAAACACGCGAAACGGTAAAGCGGTTAATGGAAAGGCCTGTATCAGTTGTCTTGAAAAGTCATCTTTTTTTAAAATACGATTGCTTTGAAATTTGAGAATTTACTTTAAACTAACCTGGAAAAATATCCCCTCGCTTTTGCAATAATCTCTTAACTCATTGCGGGTGAAATGAGGGTGAAACTCGACCTGGTTTACAGCAGGCATCATTTGCCCGAAATTTCGAATCTCCTTGATATGCTTAACTTCGTAGTTTGAAACACCTATTGATCGTATTTTGTGTTCATCTGAAATACACTATCAACCGTCCAAAAAATGGAAAGAACATGGGCATTTTCAGTTTGTCGTAAACTAAGTGAAAAAAAAATCCTGTCATACTAAATTGAAATCTGGATTTCAATGACAATCGCATTTGCTTATGTCTCAACTTACTACATATCAAAATGACTACCTTTCAGTTTTTCGAGTTCCAAGTAAGCGTCCTTACGATTTTCTTGATTTCGTGGATCATCATTTTTACTTATATCAGCTTTCGGATAATGTATAAGGACTAAATCAAGGTACCTGAACAACATTTTCATACGAATGAAATATACATATCGCATTTAAGTGTCAAAACATCATTTTCAACCGGACGCTGCCACTGGGTTAATTTGTAAGAATTTCACACATTTCTCTTTTTTGTCTTTGTGTTAAATAGCTCTTTCTTAACTGCAAAGGTGAAGAAATTTCTAAAAAATTACTCTGTTCGAAGATCCCTTAATGATTCATCTAGCATTTTTCTTGCGTGCTCGGCATTATTTGTTTCGGCTAGGAAGAATTTTGTAGTGATGAAAACTTCTTCTCTCTTCAAGTTGTATTTTGGAAGCAGTTCCTAAATTCATGCATTTTTTTTTTTGCTGCAGCGAATGGAACTGAAAAAGCAGAAAAGGACCTAAAGTTTCAAATGTTAGCCATAATAAAGGTGCAAATTTTGAGAAATTGTGCAACAGGAAGTTATATTAGGATAGCTCGCTTGCCTACCTCCTTATTCTAAATCAACAAGATAATACGTTTCGGAATCGCAATAAAAATAATTCACCTTTAGCACCGTAAACAGTGCTTCGTGTGCTATTACTCGAAACATTAAAAATATTTCCTGACAATTACAGACTGAAACAAAGTGAAATGTAGAGCGAAGTAAATTACAAAAAGTGTGGAACGAAGAAAAAATCCTACTTGGAGGGCAACGCCCAGCTCTGGTTCATTCACATAATACTTGGCTGTATCGAACAACCGGTAACCAGCTTTCAAAGCAGCATCAACAGCTATGGTGATCGTATCCTGACCAACAATTTTGTAGGTGCCAAGACCAACCATAGGTATTGAGAAGCCAGTGTTCAGTTTAGCAGTACCACCAACACAGTTTGTAAAAGTCATCACGAATCTTCTTTAAGCAGGTGATATATGCCTTTGGTCGTTTTCTTGCGTTCTTTTTCTGCATTATTTCTGGAGTTTCACTAGCAAAGAATACCGAAACTGTCCGGACATTTGGGGCAGTACTCTCGTTAGTGGCGCAATCGGAAGCCGTGTAAAACCAATCACTGTGAGAATGGAGAACAAAAGAGGTTTTTAACCAATTTTTACTATCTCACAAGTTAGACTGCAGTGAAACTGGCACAGACAGTTTGATATTATGTAAAAATTACTAAAATTTTCCAATTTCACAAAACTCAAAATAAACGAACTCTTCGAAAAACCGATTCAGTGGTAACACAACGTCACTAACCCATTGTCATAAAACTTGGTAAGTGTCACGCCACAGAAGAATGACAAGGTAAGGAAAAGCGCGCAGCCCCGTCCCAAACCGCCTTACTCGCCACCACTGAGTTGCACACTGGGTGGTTCGGCCGAGCTCTAGTGCAAACTTCGACATTAACTAGTAGCTGTTTTGAAATTCGTGAAAAGCGTTCCTGCGTGATGAGGTTTCTTCGGTGGCGTTGGTGTTTAAGGGGGGTTTGAAGACAAGGTTTCCAGTTTATTGGGACATGGAAGTAATAACTTCTCCTGCAGCATGCGGCTTTGATTGCTTTCTAATCTCACCGAAGAGTTTTCACATGGATTGTCCTCTACGATTTTACTGAATGTACAGATATATTACGTCTCCATACCACTTTTTATACTCATCATTAGGCAGTTCTGGCACAATGCTTGCTCGATCAGAAACTCTTTCATCACTGTTTCTTCCCAAGATTTCTCCAGAAAAACGATTTCTTATTACTTGTCCATTTAATATTTCGCACAGGATTTGTTTATTTCACTTTTATTTTGCTAGTTTGGATACTGGAAGGTTTGTTATATTAGTGTGGTAAATTCGTCGGAGTCAGTTTTCATCCAACACTGCTAGTTCATTTTCCCATTACTTTTTGTTTAAATCCGGTTGCAAAACCAGTTCACATTTTATGAATTTATAAAGTATTTTCCGTTCGCTTTTTCTCGTAAGTAGCAAATGAGAGTAGAACTTCCGCGGGATAAAAAGCTTGTGTTAATTTCAATTATTGTTTTGTAACAAATATATGAAGTTCCTTTCGCATCACATAGAGTGTTGGCATCGATTATTAGGCAAGTAGACTGTCTTATTTTTCAGTTGTGTGTTTATTAAGATGGATATCGACGGCGATGTAAATGGCTCATTGTCGCAGGCTCTTTCATGCATGGCAACCAACGATCGTGAAGTGCTCATAAAACAGTTTCAACAAGTTCTTGGCGACAATCACAGTCTCTCAGCAGAAGCATGCGCTTTTTTCCTTGATATGAATAGCTGGTAGGTAGGACTAACCTTTTTCAGGCACTTTTTCAACAGTGGCGATAAATTTATCGTATAGTTAAAATCTAGATTGTATTAAGCTATATTTTTTCACTTTAAAAATACTATACAACTTTTTTCTGCAAGTGGTAGAACTTTTGTTGGACTTTAAACAATTTAGGAATTTACAAGCAGCTCTAGGAGCTTACTACGATTATGGTAGTGCAAACGGTACAGGTTCACCACCTCCTGAGTATGTAACGCAACTACCTTCAATGCAGTTCGTGCAAGATGTCACAATAGGCGAGGTATGTTTAGTAAATCTGGAGTTACATGTCTTTTTCATTAATCTCACATTGATTTTTTCCCCATATTTGCCTTTTACTACGCAAAGTTTACCTTTCATAAACCGATTTTCAGGGTGAAAGCATTCCACCTTCTACACGTTTTACAAAAACTTGGCGAGTACGCAATTCCGGAAATGAATGGTGGCCTAATGGTTGTTTTTTGTGCTATATGGAAGGTTAGAATCCTGTTGAATTCCATAGCAAGCTTTTCCATAGAGGATTCTTACTTGATTGCATAAAGAAGGGTCTAAATTGTCGTTTTAATTCTAGGAAGAAACTGTGAGAATACCTACTTGTTGCAGGTGATAAATTGTCGGATACTACCAGATCCTGGATTCAGCCTTTAGCTCCAGGAAAGGAAGTTAACGTCAGCATTGAAATGGTTAGCCCTATGGAGAAGGGGATATACCAGAGCAGGTGGCAGCTGAATACCAATTCCGGAATTCCATTTGGCGGTAAACATTTCATCACAACATGCAAGTGTTGAATAATTTCCAAAGTAAAAGCAATTTGCTATTTTTGAATCATTTTAGCGATGTTTCACTTATTATTGGCTGCTTTAGAGTCCATTTGGTGCATTATAACTGTCGATGATATGGGGATTTTGGGCATCACACAGCAGCTTGCTTCTGCTCCATTGGGCTCATCTGCTCCTGTACAAGGTCAGAATATGAATCCTTTTGGTGGAGCTCTTCCGTTTAACTACGCCATACAAGTTAGTTTACTGCTGTCTATGCATATTTCAGCCACACAGTATGTGCGAAAATCAAACTCAGCAGTTATATGCTTGGCAAACTGATTATAATTTTTTTTTTTAACTCACCTAGCTTCAAAGTAACACAGAGAAGAGGAAGTTCATATATTGGGTGATAAAGTTCTGGTAACGACCAAGTTTCATATTTCATTAAAAAACAGCCAAGTAGCGGTCATTGTTAATGAAAATAGTTGAATTGAGATTCCCAAACATTATCACTGCTGGCTTTGGTCATCTGGCTTATAACTAACAAAGAATTCACTGTAAAGAAATGATAAGGCTATTATTACTATTTCAACACCAGTGCAGTTGGATTTCTTGTTTTGTTTTTCCGACAGGAAAAATTTCCAGAATTCTATAGAACAGCCTGATTGTATTGAAAGTAACATGGACGAAAGCTGTGATATGGCCCTTGACCAGGATGGGAACTCATCGCTATACAACGCCGTTGTTAGTCGACTTCCACGGGTATCATTTCTTTTTAATGGATTCTGAACGGATTGAAATCCATGCTAATTGTTACTTTTATGAATCTTCTAGGTATATTTTCCTTGTAGTGGTTATTTTCTCATTACTTTTAGGTTTGGTCGGTTAATAATTGTCAATTTCCGAATAATATTGAGCCTATTGATACATCTCATATCGAGGAAGCTCCAGACGTGCCTCCCTGTACACCATGTACACCTCCACAGTGAATTATACTGCTCACGACACATATTACCTATCTGTTTTATTTGGCAAGTATCATCCACTGGAACTAAAATAAAATTCCCGGGGTTTGGTGACAACATATGCAAGACTGTTTTGTGAGTATATGTTTGTTTTATGTGTTGTTTCAAGTGTTCCACTTATCGTGTACAGAATATTTGAGTAAGGAAGTGTTCTCGAAAGCTGTCATTCCTTTTGTTTTTTAATAACGTATTCTTGGTTATAAGAGAAAGATTTCCCGCGTTCCACCCTCATATATAGCTTTTATAGTTAAGTTCACTCCAACGTTATTATGTCATGTTTTTTTCTTCTGGTCGTATATTCATTTGCGTCCAAAGACATACGGGTAGAAAGGAGCATATGTAGTACGAAAGGTTTCATTTGGTGTTGTGGTTTACCGTCTACTACAATTGGGATATATCTGTACTTGACGGTTTTCTTGGTTTTTATCACTGGATTTTAACTCTACATCTAAACATTTGTACCTCATTTTCAAGCGAACCATGCACTGGGAGTGGTACTTAAAGCTGGGTTATGTGTTGTGGAGGATTATCATACCGATTGTTTTTAAAAGATCAGGTGTTTGAATAGAATATTATATACTCAGTTTTAAAAAGCTGTGGATTGGGAAAGAATCACAACAGAAAAGGCAAACACGATATAAGATTGTGGCGATCTGTTTGGAGGTGGTAATCGAGATTGACAATGAAGTTTATGGGTAGGAACGGATAAGAAAAACTGGAAATTCCTTCAGTAAGAATTTTTTTTAAGAAGAAATTGATCGAGTCTCTTAAATCATATTAGATATGGATTCACAGAACTTGGATGGGTAACTTTTAGGAGGCTAAAGGAATAAGTATGAAGTAGGGGAATTTGTGAAATCAGAAATATTAGAGAAATTAGTGACATGACGGCTGTTGTGTTATGGTCTGCACATGTTGCATGAATTTTTGATTGTTTTGTGGATTTACGAGTAGAAAATCAATTCAGGGTTAGTATTTTCTTTTCTTTTGTTAAATTTAATTTCCTTGTGCATGACCGAGGCAATGTTTTATACCTTCAATCACATATGCTATATAACAGTCTTCAGTCACATATGCTATATAACTACATTCTTCACTTAACTGGTGCGTACAGTCCAGCTGTCATCCAACTTTGAAAATGAGTGCGGTCTTTCAACTTTGCTCTATTCTGTGCGCTTGATCCTGTCTTCCTGATATCATATTATCGGCCCCTTAGAAGTTTTGCACTTTTGCTTGCAACGATATTTTAATTTCTAACAACATCCTTCCCGATGTACAGATTTTATTAGTTCCATTGTTACTAGTTCCCATTATTTTTATTGTCGTAGTGAATGTCTGAAGGTTGTTGCGACTGTCGTGCCAAAATCTGATGTAGTACAGCTACTGATGTGCAGGAATATGGCAGGCACTTTATTTCAGAGTGAATCGTCCTACTTTCACCAGCGATGCATTTCAGTTGTTTATCGCTAGTCTGGTTTCCTAATGTGTAACCAAATACGATGATTTTGTTGGGTTTTTTTGTAATTATAGAAACCTCTTTTCGCTAACCACATGTCAGATTTGCTAAATGTCTGACTTCTTAGAATTAGTTTTATTTGTGCCTGAGGAGACTAAATGTACAAAACAGTAATTAACAGCGATGACAATAATAATACTAATATTGGTATCAAAGTGCTAGTGGTTTCAACACTGACGAGGTGTAGGAGATGCCAGCTTGTTGGAACTTTCACTATTAATTACGCTTGCTTATTACGATATATTCTCTAGTGTTCTTTGAGAAGGAATATTTTGAGATTTATCCTGAGAAACAAAACACTGTTAAGCAAGCAGCTGTTTTACGTTAATAATATAAAACGTGTTGTGTAGAATTTCAAAGACCTATCTACAAGTAATACCAGTCGCAAGTCGTCTCTTGTGAGGGTACTTATTGGCTCCAATATTAGTATCTCACATCATAAATCTGTGCTCCTAACATGTCATCATTGAGCAGCATGTTCGCTTCTGAATATTAGCGGAAATGCATGAGTTTTCGGGAAATAGGGTTAACGTCGCTTTTTTGTTTTGGTTGAAAACTAGATTCAGAGACGATGAAATCTAGGTCACTATGTATAGTAAAGTGGTTTACAAAAAAATGCATTTGATGTGTCAGGCTTCTTATTTTCTCTTAAGAAGTAATGTAACTTATAAGTGGTACCCAAATTTATCAACATTTATCTTAACTCCTTACTAATAAATCCTTCATGAGTCATTTTGTGGAAAACCCGTTTACTTTTATGACCGGAATTATCGAAGTAATGATTTGTTGACTTATCGACCAAATTATTTTGCAGAATACAAGAGGTTTATCTTTCTTACTCATATTCGATAGTTAATGACTTGATCCTACTTACTGGTAAATGCGGTACTAATTGTTTCACCTTGCACAAATTTGCTATGATGCTTAAAGGATATCGATAATTCTTTTCGGGCTGCTTTGATTCATTCAAAAGTTGTAACATGTTACGTATTCCAAAATTTGTGCAAAATATAGAAGTTGGGTTAGCCAAATGGTTTTAAATAACATTGTTTTCCGGAGTATCTTTTGGTAAAATTAATATGACCAAATTGTTGGATATTTTAAATGTATTCTACTGGAATAAGATTCAAAACGCTGCAACTTTTGGACGAAAAAAATTAGAATTTTTACGGCAAAGAGGAACTCGATCTGTAGTAGCAAATCAATGTTATATTCCAAGATCCGTGTTGATGAAAAAATTCCAGCTCGTTTTCATATCAAAGATTGCTTGCATATAAAAGGTTGCTTCGTTTAGTCAAGTTTTTAGTCGACATGAATCCGAAGTAATTCGCGAACCCGGGATTCTTGGAATATTGCCGCTTAGGTTCTTGAATTTAGTCAAGAGAACTAATATTTTATAATCTGAGAGCCAGTAAGGTAATTTTCACCACTCGTCTTCCTGTTAAGTAGCAGTGTTTTATCAGTTTCTGCCATTTATAAAATATTAAAGTCTCTTCCTTTGCGTTGGCTAATTTCTCATTAACGCTGCTAGAAATGAAACCTCCGTTGAAAATTCTAAAGAACTAGAACTTCAATATTCACATCACATGTTACCTTCATCTCAGCCTGAAAAGAGTGCTCAAAGATGGTTCAAAATCGTAGGATCATTCATCCTCGTATGCATCTCTCCTATTATCTTCTTTATCGTTTCTTACAGAAGAAATAATTATGGAAACACTTGATAGAAAGACTATTTGGTCACGATGACGTATTTGTTCAGACCAAGTAACAGCACATGAAATATATATAACTGATTAGGAGATACTCTGTAGTGGGATAATTTAACAGATTCATGCTGATGAAATTTATGAGTCGTTGAAGAGATCATCAACTAACGGCAATGAAAAATGAGCGATGGAAAGTGAACTGTTTAGCATCGTGTTGTGTAAGTATGACGTCGCTAATGGCATCAGTATAACAACTGTGGTTGGATTCATTGCCAAGATGTGTTATAACGTATTTTTACTCAGACGTACGACCAGCCGTGTAAATTCAACTTTCTCTGGAGTCCTTTTTCCTTATATTTATTTTTCTTTTCTTTTTTTTTCATACAGGAGTAAGTGAAGCCAACTGTTCAGGAAATGATATGGAGGGCCAAAAGTTAAGTAGAACCAAAACATGGTCTGGGGGTTTCTGATATCAGAATTAAGACGTACAGGAGAGTGAGGTTCTAATGGAGGGTAGATAAACGGAGCCAGGCAAATAACACACTATCAGGAGTTGCACATAGTCCAATGTCTTTTGTTGAATAATATCAAATTATCCTGTAAAAGTATTACTGCATGAAGCACCAAATTCTAGTAGCTTATTTTCCAAATGCCCATTCGAATTCCAGGAACAGCAAGAAACTCCATCAAGGGAAAGTGATGTAGGCATTTCATATTCAGTCTTGTCAATTTTTTTTGATTCCCATGAATTTTTAATTGTTTTTGAGATCTTTTTCTTTGATGATTAAACTAGAAAAATTTATGACCAGGCACTAGTGACTATCCTCACTGATCCGTGATGTTCCAGCTCGCTTGTCAATGTCCGCTTCTGACAGTGACTTGAAAGACCGGTTTACATGCACTTGA